ACACACACACACACACACACACACACACACACACACACACACACGCCCATAATGACAAATGGTCCTATTTCCAGAGACAGGAGATAAAGGTCAAATTAAATAATTTGCACTGTTGAGTGCCAACATCAATGACCTTTGTTGTGAGATTTCATTATGTCATGTGTTTATTTGCCAATGCTGTTCATCCTGAAATCAGACATTATTTTTTACTGCACTTTGAAGGAGCTGGTGCTTATTCATATCCCTCATTGAGTTACTTTTTCTTGTTTGGAATTCCAAGCTAATTGATGGAGCCATGGTAGCTGGTATTTAGAGGTAGGGATAGTAGACAACCAAAAGACACTGGCAAGTATTATGACAGCTCCTGAGACTGCAGAGCAGTGAAACATTAGATTAAAAGATGGTCTAACACAGAAAACTGACACACCAGAGCGTTTTGTATTTTGGAAAGAAGGTGGCAGTTGTTTTTTCTTTCCCATATGTAACAAAACTGTCCAGTAGAACTTTTTACAATCATCACTGTCCAGTAGAACTTTCTACAGTGGAGCTATATCTTCACTGTCCAGTACAATAGCCTCTAGCCACATGTGGCTATTGAGACTTAAAATGTGGCTAATATGAGGGACAGGACTTTAAATTTTATTTATTTAAAAAATTTTTTTATTAGCTTCAGGTGTATAAAACACATAGTGATTAGACATTTATATACCTCACAAAGTGATCACCCCAGTAAGTCTATTACCCATCTGACACTGTACAGTTCTTACAATATTATTGGCTATATTCCTACAATGTTTTTTATTATATTCCCTATGTTGTACTATATATCCCATGACTATTTTTTTTAAATTATAGTTGACATTCCATGTTATTTTATATTAGTTTCAGGTGTACAGCATAGTGATTAAGCATTTATTGGGTCGCCGGGAAAGTCATGATGCATTTTTGCATTGAAAAACATAGAAAAATACATCATGACTTTCCCGACGACCCAATATATAATTTATTAAGTGATCCCCCCATTAAGTCTAGTACCCATGTGACACTATACATAGCTTCTACAATTGACTGTATTCCCCATACTGTACTTTACATCCCAGTGACTATTTTGTGACTACCAATTTGTACTTCCTAATCCCTTCACCTTTCTCACTCGCCCTCCCATCTAGTAACCATCAGTTTGTTCTCTGTATCCTTGAGCCTGTTTCTGTTTTGTCATTTATTTTGTGTTTAGATTCCACATATGAGTGAGATCATATGGTATTTGTCTTTCTCAGTCTGACTTATTTCACTTAGCATAATATCCTCAAGGTTCTAAATTTTATTTATTTCTAGTTAATTTAAATTTAAATAGCCTGATGTGGCTAGTGGCTATCATATTGGACAGTGCAGGCAAAGATAATAAAAGAAAAAGGATTCCAAAATTACTTAATAGTCTTTGAAGTATAATCTGTAACTTCCTTAAATTATGTTTCTGTTTTGCATAGACTGTATTTCCCGAGCACTTAGCAACTTCCTGTGAAGACTTCACCATAAACCAAATGAAAATCTTATGCTTTTTAAAAACAAATGTTTAAAAATATTTTTGTAAAAAATGCATCTATATTTGAAATGCTTCATGCATTTCAGAGGTATTGCCGTGCCTCATAAAGAAATCATGGTGTATCCAAGGAATGGCCTCTAATGTTCATTGTCCGTAGAGCTATTGATTTGAACCCCATCCTGAAGCCTCAAAAAAGTTATGAGTAACAGAGAACACAAACTTTTTGAGGATATACACTGTGCTAGGTGTTCGATGAGGGTGTGTGTGTGTGTGTGTGTGTGTGTGTGTGTGTGTTCTAATTTAATCCTCACAGCACAGCAGCCCCCTGAGGTAAGTAGTATTTCTTGAGCACAGATGAATATAATGAATAGACTCAAGATGGTGACTTTCCCATGGTCTCCCAGTGAGTAAGTGGTGAAGCAGGTTTGTTGCACTCCCAAACTTCTGCTTTTCCTCCTCTATTCTGCTGAATTACTTTGAACAACAGATGGTAAATTAGAGAACTAAAAGTTGACTGTGAAGTTTTGTGTCGTTCATATCTCACTTTTTTTTTAAGATTTTTATTGGGCAATTGGGGGAAGGGGAACAGTGCTGGGGAATTGGGGGAAGGGGAACAAATTGCTGTCGTTTTGTTCTTCAGTCTAGTTGTGGAGGACGTTGCTTCACTGGCCCAAGTTGGCACCATCATTGCGCGCTTCCCGGGCGAGGCACATCAGTCGCCGGCTTCTGGACGGCCGCTCACTGCGGCTGCTGGCCGCTCACGCTGGCTGCTGGCCGCTCACGCTGGCTGCTGGCTACACACGGTAGCCCATGGCAACCCACTGCCACAGGGGCTGCAGCCTACGCCGTCGCCGGCGACTCACAGCAGCCCAGCTCCAGGTTGAGCTGTTGTTCAGCATCTTAACTGAAGAGGGCAGTGTCACTGGCCCTCATATGTGGGATCCGAACCGGGGCCCTCTGGTGTCCCAAGCCAGTTCTTAACCATCGCGCCACTTGGCCGGCCCCCAAGCGAGTTATTAACCATCGTGCCATTTGGCCGGCCCTCATATCTCACTTTTGACACTTGCCCAGTCCGGTGTGCTTATAACATGGTCTTTTTTTAATTTTATTTTTTTTATTTTAACAGAACAGCCAGATTTTCCTTTTATTTTATTTTTAAAATTTTTTTATTTATTTGTTTTTTTTAAAGATTTTATTGGGGAAGGAAAACAGTGTCGGGGAATTGGGGGAGGGGAACAGCCAAGTTGTTATTCTTCAGTCTTAGTTGTGTAGGGCGCAGCTAGCTCAGCTCCAAGTCTAGTCGCCATCCGGCTGCCCGTCGGCAGCTCACAGCTGCTGAGCTCAAGGTGCCATGTTCAATCTTAGTGGCAGGTGGGCGTAGCTTACCATCCCATGTGGGAATCGAACTGGCAACCTTGTCGTTAGGAGCGAGTGCTCTCACCAGCTGAGCCATCCTGCCACCGTAAGCAGCTCAGCTCTGGTGCAGCTCACCGCCTGCGAACCTGTTGCTCTGAGCTCATGCTTTTAACCAACTGAGCCACTCGGCCGACCTATCTTACAGCGTGGTCTTAATCGTATTCAATCAACTCCACATCAGCCCTAATGCTGATACTTCCTGGCACCAAGTCGGCACTCAAGGAATGTGTCTGGATTTGCACTATGCTGTATCTTCTCAATACAGCAAAAGCTAACTCCAGTCATCCAGCCTGAAGTGGGTGGGAGCCAGCTCTCCTTCCTTTCCTGCATAGTCCTGTGCTCCATACTCTCCTTTACCCAGGCAAGTAAATGTCTCCTAGGTTTCGGAGCCGGGAAGCCCTGTGCCACGAGAGGCAGACGGGGCCAGGACGCCTCAGGTGGAGGAGCCAAGGACAGAAATTGCAGGCAGCTAGAAGTTGTGTCCTTGTTCCAAGGCAGCAGTAATTCTTAGGCCTTTCCAGATGATATTTTGGTCACAGTGCATTAAGAAACTCCAGGATGTGAATGAAGATGCCATAAAATTCCTGCTTCCTGCACCACCACAGGCTGCAGGGGCTCTGAGATGCTTACAGCAATGGGGTGTGTATTAATGAGACACTAAAACATGCCCTCGTATGTCCTGATGAGCTTTCAGTGCAGCCTTTTCAATCCTGTTCGGATTCCTTAATATATAACAATGGAATTTATTTTTAGTTCTTTGTTGTCCCACTGGGCTCAGGTAGGGTCAAACTTTGGCAATAAATGTAATTTTGCTTCTCAGCTGCTGAGTGTTCTCCCCTTGAAGACTCAATGGCTCCCTTTCTATTTATCTTCCACATACAATTTGAGCCATCTTTTACCCCTCCTCACATTTAGTGAGAATATTTTCCACTTAGTCAGCTGCCTGCTCCAAGGCATATTTTACAGTATCCCTATATCTTATGACTTATTGTATTCAATACCTAGACGAGGCCTTTATGACTACCAAATTGTTATTGTTTTTTATCACCAAAAAGCCTTAATGAAGCATGCATTAAGAAAAACACTACAGGGCCAGCCGGATGGCGCAGTTGGTTAAGAGCGCAAGCTC